TCCCCGCGGCTCGGGGAGAAGGTGCTCTTCCGTGGCGTCTGCAAGTGGGACCTCGCTCCTCCTACCAACTTCTCAAGCGGACCTCCTGTCCACAGTCCCCCGCGAAGTCAAGTTCACGTCTGGGCTGAGCGCCATGGTCGCGGAGGAGGGCCAGGAGGTCACCTTCCAGTGCGTGGTGACCCCCAGCGACGCGGCAGTCCTGTGGTTCCGGGACGGTACCCAGCTGCAGCCCAGCGAGAAGTTTCGCATGTCGCAGAGCGGCGCCAGCCACAGCCTGACCATCTCTGGCCTGGTCCTGGAGGACGCCGGCCAGATCGCCGCGGAGGCTGAGGGGGTCACATCCTCGGCTGCCCTCCGCGTCCGAGGTGCGGGGGCGGGGGGTGGCGGGAGTGTGGGCCCCTCCCTGGTGGGCTGGCATCGTGCTGCTCGCAGGTGCCCGCTCCTCTGGCTGATTTCAGGGAACACAGGGTTTGCTGGTTGCAGAGAGAAGACTGGGGTGGGACGGAAGGGCTGGGCACCTCCTCTGAAAGAGTAAACTGCTGCACTGCGCCCCTGGCCTGAGAATGGATCCACACCGAGCCCCATAGGTGGCGAGATGGGAGGGAGTGGGGTTGGCAGCCAGTGCAAGCAGAGGCAGGATGCATTTTGCTCGATGAAGCCAGATTGTCGGTGAGAGCCAGCCTTCACCTGAGGATAAGTGGGAGCCATCGCAGGTCTTGAGTAAGAATAATGTGGGCAGACTCACTTTCCTGGGACGTCATGGTACAGTGTGGGACTTCAGCATGTTTCTCTCCGTTAACGTTTGGGCTCCCAGGGCTCCAGTGGAGTGGAGATGCTAATTCTACTGTTCTGGGGGCTCAGAGCCCACCTGTCTCACCAGCTCCGTGTCCTGAGGCTACTGGTCACCACATGTAGGAGCTCCAGGCACTGGAGCCTGGCAGGGCTGTTCAGAGCAGGGGAGCAGAGGTGGGAGGGGGTTGGGAAAGGAGAGGCCTCCTTAGTCTCCATTTCCTCCCATTAAAGTATACCTGTGCAGGTGCGCAGCTGGGCCCTGAGTATTGCTAAAGCCTTGCCTGGCTTGGAGGCAGAATGTGGTAGGGGTCCCTGCTCTACTGGCTGGGGGCTGGGTTGGACAGGGGCCCTCTGAGCCTCGTGTTCCTGAGTGGCAGTGGCTGTGTGATTGCCCTTTCCCTGACCCCAGAGGCTCCTGTGCTGTTCAAGAAGAAGCTGGAGCCACAGACAGTGGAGGAGTGGGGTTCAGTGACCCTGGCGGTAGAGCTGACCAGGCCTTGGCCGGATGTCAAGTGGACACGCAATGCTATGGCCATATCCCCAAGCGAGAATGTGGCAGTCTACACAGAGGGCGCAAGTCACCGCTTGGTCCTCCGCAGTGTGGGTTTTGCTGACCGTGGCTTCTATGGCTGTGAGACGCCAGATGACAAGACACAGGCCAAGCTCACAGTAACAAGTGAGCTACAGGGCAGCTAGGTCTGGGGTCTGGCACCCAGGAGAGGGAAGGGAGAAGGGAAGGGATGGAGAGGAATGAGTTTCCCACTGGGGACCTGGCCTTGGGAAGGGAGGTTATCAGGGGATCTTATGGCTGGGGATGAAGTGGGCCTCCCAGGGAGGGCAATTATCCTCCTGTGGGTGGGAATGAGCCTCCCCCTCTAGGGCAACACGCTGAGCTGAGGCCCCTGGGAAGGACGGAGGGAGGGCCAGGGTCTCGGTGCAGTGGCATACCCTTCCCTCCTTTGCTCCGCAGTGCGCCAGGTCCAGCTCCTGCGGGGCCTGCAGGTGGTGGAGGTGCAAGAGCAGGGCTCCACCACCATGGAGGTGGAGCTGTCCCATGCCAACGTAGAGGGCAGCTGGACACGTGATGGCCTTCGGCTACAGCCAGGGCCCACGTGCCAACTGGCAGTTCAAGGCCCCATTCACACCCTCACGCTGTCTGAGCTGCAGCCACAGGATGGTGGTCTCATCGCCTTCAAGGCTGAGGGCGTGCACACATCCGCGCGGCTGGTGGTAACTGGTGCGTGGGGGGTGGAGTGAGACTCACTCGAGACTGCATGGTCCCTATCTTGAAGGGGAGGCAGGTGGGGACAGGGGTGTGGAATCTGGGGTGGGGGCATTCATTCCTAGAACCAGCTGAGTGATTTGGTCCATCTCAGCCCCCCTCCCCCACTCCATCTGCCTCTCTCATCTCCTTCTGCCTCCCCAGAGCTGCCTGTGAGGTTCAGCCGTCCACTGCAGGACATGGTGGCTACAGAGAAAGACAAAGTGACGCTGGAGTGTGAGCTGTCACGCCCCAATGTGGACGTGCGCTGGCTGAAGGTGCCTCTGTCCCTGGACTCTTCTGCTCCATCTACTCCTCACCATGAGGGGCATCCCCAGCACCTGACCTGATTTTGTACCCCTACAGGATGGCGTGGAGCTTCAGGTTGGCAAGACAGTGGGTATGGCAGCCAAGGGCACCTGCCGGACTCTCGTCATTTACCAGTGTGCCTTTGGAGACCAGGGCGTGTATGTGTGTGATGCCCATGGGGCTCAGACCTCGGCATCCCTGAAGGTGCAAGGTGAGTACTGGGCAGAGTGGGAGGTCAGGGCCAGCTGCAAGACCTCCTTACCCCCTGGGTCCCCCATTGAGGTGCTTGGCCTTCTTGAGTACCAACCCTCTGGTACTCAAGCTGTGGATGGGGGAGGGGCAGGCAGCTCTGTGCTTCAGTGTGGCAGGGCCTCCCTCACTGCCCCAGGGCGCAACATCCAGATCCTGAGACCCCTGGAGGACGTGGAGGTGATGGAGAAGGAGAGCGCCACTTTCTCCTGTGAGGTCTCCCATGATGATGTGTCTGCTCAGTGGTTCCGGGAGGGCAGTAAGCTTCGGTCCAGTGACAACGTGCGCATCCGCCAGGAAGGTGTGACAGTTATGGCAGTGGCTGTGGGAGGGCCTCTCCCCATCCTCCATGCACCTCCCCCAGTGCTGAGTGGTCTGTGTTCCCAGGAAGGACATACACGCTCATCTACCGGAGGGTCCTGGTGGAAGAAGCAGGAGAAATCCGATTTGTAGCTGAAAATGCAGAATCTCGAGCCCAACTCCGAGTGAGAGGTGAGGGGGACTCAAGGGAGGATGTGGGCTGGACACCAAGTGAGAACATAGATGGGTGCTGTGCCAGCTGTCCTGACACAGGCCTGCGGCGCTCCAGCCCCTCCCAGGACAGGACGGGGGTAACCCAGGAGGAGGCAAAGAGGGTGTTGCCTCCACTGCAGGAAGGCAGAGGTCAGAGGAGGCAGTTCTTGTTTAAAATGGAGATAACAGTGAGGTCTTCCTCCTGGGACTGCAGCAGGTGCTGGAGAGTGAGGCCCTGGCGGCCTTGATGACAGGAGAGGGTGGCGACCAGGCCTGAGGGAGGGAGGGATAGTCTGTGGACAGGTAAGGTGATCACACAGGGGTGTTGATGCACAGGAGAGGACAAGCGGGGTGTGGTATGAGGGACAGGGCAAGAGGTGGAAAGGGTGGAAGGTAGGTGTGGATGCACCTACTTTCTTCAGGGTCAATTGTACGGAAGGGGTCAGACCTGAGGGTGACACCCGCTTTAGCCTGGCTGGTTAGGAGCACCCACCTGACTCTTCCCTGCTCACCCACAGAGCTGCCAGTGTCCATTCTGCGCCCCCTGCGGGACAAGATTGCCATGGAGAAGCATCGCGGGGTCCTTGAGTGCCAGGTGTCTCGGGCCAGTGCCCAGGTGCGGTGGTTCAAGGGTGGCGTGGAACTGCGGACCGGGCCCAAGTACGAGATGGTCAGCGATGGCCTCTACCGCAAGCTGGTCATCAGTGATGTGCAGCCTGAGGATGAAGACACTTACACATGCGATGCTGGCGATGTGAAGACCTCTGCCCAGTTCTTTGTGGAAGGTGTGGGCAGGGCTGTAGGCAGCTGTCCTCTGTGCCTGGGGATGGACTGCGGCCTCTATCATTGGCCCTGATACTTGGAGGCAGCCAGGTCTGAGAAGGGCCTGACTGGGGGGCATCGGGGCAGGAGGGGGAGGATGTGAGTACGTGTGTTTGGTGGGAAGGTTTGTTCCCAGGAAGGAACACAGATGGGGGCGGTCCTCCTGCAGACACGTGATGCCTCTCGCCCACAGAGCAATCCATCACCATCGTGCGGGGCCTGCAGGACGTGACCGTGATGGAGCCTGCCCCCGCCTGGTTCGAGTGTGAGACCTCCATTCCCTCTGTTCGGCCGCCCAAGTGGCTGCTGGGGAAGACGCCATTGCAGGCCGGGAAGGATGTGGGCATGGAGCAGGAAGGCACAGTGCACCGGCTGACGCTGCGGCGCACCTGCTCCACCATGACCGGGCCAGTGCACTTCACCATCGGCAAGTCGCGCACCACCGCCCAGCTGGTTGTCTCAGGTGGGCGCTCAGCCCCCGGGCGAAGGAGGGGTCCTTAGCGGATGGCAGTGCCCTGAGCTCCTCTGGCCCAGCCCACCCGCAGCGCTGCGCTCTCTCTCCTCCCCCGCAGACATCCCTGTGGTGCTTACAAGGCCGCTGGAGCCTAAGGCGGGCCGTGAACTGCAGTCAGTGGTCCTGTCCTGCGACTTCAAGCCGCCCCCCAAGGCTGTGCAGTGGTACAAGGAGGACACACCCTTGGCGCCCTCGGACAAATTCAGAATGCGCCTCGAGGGCCACATGGCTGAGCTTCGAGTGCTGCGGCTCACGCCCGCCGACGCCGGCGTCTACCGGTGCCAGGCCGGCGGTGCCCAGAGCTGTGCCCAGGTCACCGTGGAAGGTGCGCGGCGGGGGTGCAGGGCCGCCCGGAGGGGCCCGGGGGTGGTGGTGCCAGAG